CCAATGCCTGAACCACGTCCAAGGAAGGGGAGTCCCCCCCCACTCGTAGCACCTGCCATCTTCTCTGCCTTCTCAACCTCCTCACTCCATGACGCACTCTGCGGAGTCAGTGTCGAAAAAGGCTGTTCTTGCTCCACTCTCCTCACCTCTACGTTCTTCGTTGTTGCAGGTCGTTGTCTCCACGTCCTCTACCACATTGCGCTGCCAGGTGTTCATACGACCCACACAAACGACAAGTGCGTCGTTGCCCTGCGTATGTCACAAATACCTGAGTTCTGAATTCTTCCATCACCACATACGACGGTATAGGATGTCGTATCGTCATCTTTGCAGAGTACGTACCCTCAGGTATTCCCATATACGTACCAGCTGACCATCTTCCGGCAGTAACCGTGTGTACCGTCCCATATTTACTCATGGCAAACCTTATGTCAGATGCATCCGCCTCAAATGGCACATTCCTGATCTTCACCCAAGTGAAGTAACTTGATACATCATGCATCCTCACCGTGACAGCATGATTCACAGGTATGGCCACTTCCTGAAACTTGTTAACCACTGTCTCATACATACTCGTCGAATTGAATTTAAGAAATATCCTCTTCGTGCCATTCAAGGCAAGTCCACAAATCTCTTCAGTAGCTACGCCGTAGGTGTCTCTAATTATTGCTGGTAGAAGTAGCTCCATAGACGGCCCAGTGATAGCTCCACTGGTTAATTCAATACAGACTGTATTGACTCTCCGGCGACAAGCCTGCGCCATGTTGTGAAAATATTACTGCACCCAGTCAACACCAGGGGGTAGCAGCAGCACACGTCCTCTCTACTCAAGGGCTGAGAGACGAATAAATGTACAATTGCTATGGATCCCATCACACATTGGATTAATCCTTCATGATAAAGTTGATATGTTAGCCAAGAAGAGTATCCAGAAGGAGAACGTAGAATATAACTTTGGTATAACTGTGTCTAGCATTAGGAATAATATTAGGAGAGAAGTAAATAATGAAGATGATTGTTATAGGAATGCAGTTAGAAGCCTGAGTAGATCTATAACCCACTATGATAACATGAACGTAGATAAGTATGTTTATGGAGCAACTTGCAATGTGAACAGACTGACTGATGTTGTAGTGGCCAGGCTTAGGCTTGGTTACAAGTACTGACTGATGATGTAGTGGCCAGGCTTAGGCTTGGTTACAAGTACTGACTGATGATGTAGTGGCCAGGCTTAGGCTTGGTTACAAGTACTGACTGATGATGTAGTGGCCAGGCTTAGGCTTGGTTACAAGTACTGACTGATGATGTAGTGGCCTGGCTTAGGCTTGGTTACAAGTACTTCTGGCAGTTTGGGAGACACACAGATGATGATCAAACTAAATGTAAATTATGTGATCAGGCATATGGTCACTGTCTTGAACACTATGTGCTTAATTGTCCACTTATTGAGGAATACAGAGACAGACAGTATAATAACCTATGTGACATGTTAAGATATCTTATTAATGAAAATAAGATACCAGATATACTAAGCAAATTTCCTAAATTTGCTTGTAACAGATAAGTGAACTATAGATATGTAGATATAAATCCATATGTATTCCTGTTAACCCTTTGGGGCCTAGTTCCTAGGCCTTTTGTGTATCCACATGCTCTCGCGCTACCGTCCACAGGATGGATATGGGGTGCACAATAAACTAGCCACTTCAGTGGAAAAATCTAAAAAAAAAAAAAAAGACGACGTCCACTGCCGAGTTCACAGTCACCTTCCTCTCCTGGTACTCGCCAACAAGTGTCGTAGACGCCGGTACGATTCAGTTTCAGGAATACTCTGGTCATCCCATTTAAGGCTACACCATATACTTCATCGTTGGGGACACCATAGACGTCTCTGATGATGGTGGGTAGCAATGTATTCATCGTTTCGCCACTGAGCGTGCCACGTACCAGCTATATACAAACAGTGTTGATCCGCTGACCCACTCGATACGCCATTTTGCCTTCCAGTTGCTAAAGGTCACCACCAGAGGGCAGGTGTAGCTACTAGGCGTGCGTCCTCTCTCCCCGGAGGTCGAGAGACGAATCCCATTATTAGAATTACATACAACCCTGCACATAACTGTATGGTGCCTTCCCTTGTTGCATTGATAGCTGTCAGGTGTGCCACAGGCAGTGTGTACTCAGTTCCTCAAGCTTCAACATCCGTGCACACGAGGGCCTGGGATCTTCAGTCAACTTGGCGTCCACCAGGACGTTGCCATGTCCCTAGGACAGCTCCCATCGGGCTGCTAACGGCCCCGGGTTTTTGGGCCCCTCTTGGGGAGGTCATGGGGCCGTCAAGCAGCAGACCCCGGGAACTTGCTGCTTTTTGCATGGCTGTTGCCGGGGAGAGACGGGCACTCAAATCTTTGTTGGGGAAAATGGATAAATTTCCCCGAATTTTGTTAACGCTTTTATCTGTTTTTTGTTTATGATTGTAATCTGCATAACGTGTTTATCATTCTTTACCTTTAAACTTGTCTTTTTTGACCCTCTACCTGGAGCTCATTCCCTTTGAAATTTTCTCATTTTAAATGTGTTTATGATTCATTCCCCTTTCAATTATTCATGAGTGTAACTTTTCCCTGGGTCTTACCTTTTAATTGGTATGATATGACCAATGTTATTACCTTTAAACTTCTCCTTCAAACTTTGGATCCAGTCCCTGGCCCAAATTTTAAAAAACCTTTTAAAATTTTTTGAACCCCCCACAGGTGGGTAGGGGCTAATAAACTATTAACAACATTGAAGCAACTTTCAATTTGGGATAGACAATCTTTTATTTTTGATTGTTAACACTGAAAAACTTCAAGTTTTTCTTCTTTCCACTTTAATACCCATAAAATTATGGGCATTACGTTTTAAAAAATCCCCTTGCAAAGACAGTCTCCTTTTTCCTTGCCGACCTCTTATAAGGGGGTTACCCTTACTGAGGTATTTATTCCTCTTCCCTTTGAGTGAGAACCATATTACGTTCCGTCACTTGATAGGGCCTTTTTAAAACCTTTTAAATTGCGTTTATTACCACTGGGTTTATTTTCCCTTTTGAGCTTGCGATACTTCAGAGTCATTTTTTGGGTTATACCCTAAGAACTGTTTTGCGCGGTCGAAAATTGAACAATTAATTTTTTGCCGACCTAGTCTGCTTTCCTCCAACCGTACTTGGGGTTTTGGCAAACCACCCTTTGCATTAATAGGTTACCTGGAGTTACCTGGAGGTTATTCGGGATCAACCCCCCCGGGGCCCGGTTCCCGCCCCGGCCCCGAGGGTCGGGGCCCGGGGTAGATCAACTGCCGCTTACCCCCCTTTAATTTTTCAAAGCCTTATTTTTTAAAGCTTTTTTTCCACTTCGAAAGCTGATTAATTAAAACATTCATTTCCATTCCAACTGCACAATTCCCCACAATCTCTTTCAACAGCTTATACCACAACTTTACAAAACCTTTTGAAAAAGTTTCAGATTATGTGTAAGGCCTTAAACTAATTTTAATTCACGGAAACTTTCTTTTTTTGTCGAATTAATTTTCAATGTTTGGTAGGCAGTGTCAATTTTTAAAAACCAACAATTTTTAAAGTTTTAACACATGTTAACATGGGGGTTTTTTTAAAATAACCCAGATGTTGCCATGTGTCTAATTCATGATCTTTCTTCAAAAATTTTTTTTAATACAATACAAGCCATAACATCAAATTAATATAACGGACGGGAAACACTGTAAATCATGGAGGTTGGGTTAGGTAAAATTCGTCGGGAAAACGGGTGTTTCCGCCCTGGTTTTAGATATGCCCTTGTTGGGTTTTTGGTATTGACCGGGCCCTTTCCCGCTGGTTCCCCCTCCCCCCCCTTTAAAATTATGTTCACATTATAACCATGGGGGAAAAACTTTTAACACACTTAAAAACCCACTAAACATAAAAATCTGTACTAGCTCAATTCTTCCAAGCTTAAGGTCCCAACGCACGGGTACGTACGTAAGCCATCCCACGAAGGTTCCAGTCATGACCCCCCACCTGACCTTATACACTCAATATTCTTTTTTGAAAAATGTGCAAAAAAAAAAACTATCTGCATCTCTGACTCCTAACGTACACTGGTTTGAAACCCACAATGTATTTACACTCCCTATATTTCGAATGATCACCACCTAAAGCCTCCCTATAAATAAAATTCCAGTACATACACACTTGGTCCCCTTCCTGGGGAAAATTTGCATTTATTGGATGAAAATTATATACACAAACAGCAAATGAAAAATGATAACATATTTTCGTTCAAGGGGAATTTGGGGACACTTAGGTCCAAAAAATGTCCCCCTTCGATACCACCATGCTACCCACAGTTCTTGGCCCTTTTAAATTACCAAAAAAATAGGTATAACCGGGAATGCTGGAAAATATATAAAATTTGGGGGACTGTATATTAAAAAAATAAAGGGTTATAATATACAAAATTTAATAACAAAAGGGAAAATATATCAAAATATCACTCACCAATTTGACTGGAGTTTAATTGATTAACCAGAAAACCTCACATCTAAATTTATAAAAATTACTGGCAAAAAAAACATAAACGACTTATCTGAGTTCCCTGGACGTTTGTCCAGTCGCATATACCAAATACAAAATGCACATCCAACAATTTGCCTCCTTAAGGGGTGTCAATCCAATTTTAACCTCTAGGCCAAAAAATTTTTCCCATTATATTAACTTGTACCAATTAAAAACCCAAGATGGCGATCAACTTCTGCGCAGGGCGTTTCCCCGTTTTGTTTACATAAATTTTAAATACATAGGGGCCTCTATTTACATTTAATAACACTGATTTCTGGAAAATAATACTATTTTCACATTTCCTATTTCGCAACATGCAGGCTCCTGAGATGTGTTGATTGCAAACACAAAAGGCCTAACTATCATTCAACCCCCCTTGGGTTTATATGTAAGCATCATGTATACATACCTGGAGGAAGATTTTTTAGCAGGTTTGTGGTAAAATAGACAGCAAGGAGAGCCGGAACACAACAGCAACACCTCCACAATCATCTCCCCTCTGAAAACTCGGGAAAATTAACCTTTGTGTTAGGGGAGAAGAATTTTGGGGTTTATAGGGGGTGTGGGGGATGATCCCGTGGCCAGTTGGCAGGGGCCTCGGCAAACACACTGGAGGACCATGTTCGATTCCTTTAGAGGGACCATTACAGTAACAATAATCTCTATTTTTCCCGTACATATACAAATTATACGACCATGTTGACATCAAGACATATACTTATGAAAGTTTCCCTTTTTATGCTGAGCTTTCTGGGAACATATTTCGTTCCTTGTTCCCTTTCACCACGAAAATAGGTACCTAGGTGTAGTCACCCCACACCGCTGTCACGTTCCCTTGCGTAGGGTCCTGGGGTTAGTCACCTTAAACCTGCTGTCCCTTTTCCCCGGGTGTTTTCACCTTTTAACCCATTTTCCATTCACTTAGCTAAGTAGGTACCTGGGTGTTAGTCACCTCACCCTGCTGCAAGTTCACTTAACAGTTAAGGTTTTTTTTTAAAATTTTATTTAAAAAAACACAGTATACATGTATGGTATACATACTACTTAAAACACAACAGAAAACTTAATAAAAAACATAATTTAAAAATAAAAAAGACAACCTGAAATACCTTAAAAACAAAATAGATAAAAACAAAGAAAAATAAGAACAAGGAACACTGCAGAAGGCCTACGGCCCATGCGAGGGGGGTCCAATCCCTACCGGGTTAAGCCAATGCACCCACCTATAGGCATCCATTTACTTTAAGGGGGAAAACCCCAACCGACCTGGGAGCACAACTATCATCCAACTCACACCCCCCCACATCCCCCATGTATTTACCAAACCCATTTTAAAGCTACCACTTCTGGGCCCCTATAACTGATCGGGGTTTTTTTCCCTCATCCCCAAAATCTATTCCCCAAACCCTACTTCCTATACCATATATAAAATAAAACAAAGTACATCTTACATATCGTGTATAATTTTATATAAAAAAAAAAAAGTCATTGCAACCCCAATGGTCAATGGACACTCCGGGGGAACGTCGGGCATCCCGCCCCATCCGGACGTTAGCACTTCTCCAGCAAACTCTCCTGTGGAACTCCCAGGCTCCTCAAGCCCCACAGATGGCACGGGCACATTTGTATGTCCCCGACAGGGGTTTTACACGCCAAACTCGTTTCCCCCTTGTTGCACCTCCTCACTCCAAAGTTTAGTTCCCCTTTTCCATCGAGGGGCCCGTCCCCAGATCGAAGGCTCGGTTCGTAGGACCACAGGAGAAGGTTCCCGGATGCGGACAACCAGGTCCTGGGGCACTGACCTATGTGGTCAAAAGATTGCTTAACCCCCGCAGTCTTCCATTGGGCTGCGTAGGAAAAAAACTGGGTCCTATAGTTTTCCAGATAAACCAAATGAATTGGGGTTTAATTCACTTATGTGAAGGAGCCCTCCGGGGCCCTCGTAGGGGGCCCCGCCTTACAAAAACCCTTGGGCGCTGCGTGCACCGGCCCTATCTACCAAAAAATTTTACATCTCCCCACCTCAAAGGCCGTCCCTTCTTTGACCCGGGGGACGTATGCGGAGACTCATGCAGACATTTCTACAGCCGAATTCACCGCCTTTCTTTTTGGAAACCCCACAAACCTGGAGTAAAAGCCGCAATTTCGATTTCCCAAAAAATTTTCCGACATCCCATTGAGGCTCATATTAATTCCTCAGTGGGGGTGCCGTAACGTCGCGAAAATTTAGGCAACAAGAATGCTCGTTTCCCCCACTGAAAGCCACGGGAATTCAACAAGACCGTTTTGGAAATAAATGGTAAAAATACCCACACAAAGGAAATAAAACACAAAAGCAGTAAATGTGATCCTTTTTGACTACGTTTTCGCCCCCACAGGGGCTTTTTCAAGTACAAAAAGAACTGTGACTTAAAAAGCCCCCTGTGTGGGGGAAACGGTCAAAAAGGGTCACTTTTTACTGCATTTTTTGTTTTTATTTCCACAGACTGTTTTACTCTTCTCCCTGACGGGTTCCACTTCTACTGTATACACGGTTTGCCCCCAGGTGTAACAAGAGCAGGGTCATAAAACATAAAAATAAGAACAAGGGAAAAACTGCAGAAGGCCCCATGGGCCCCTGCGAGGCAGGTCCAAGTCTCCTCCGGCTTAACCAAAGACCCCAACCTAGTCAGGTCAGGGCCAAATTTATTAAGGAGGGCACGGCAAACCCACCTGGTAGCCAAACTACAGGCAATCACACCCCAAACCCACTTATATGTATTTATCCAACCTATTTTTAAAACTACACAACGTTCTGGCCTCTTAAAGGGATTTGGGAGTTTGTTCCACCACCACAACTCTATTACCAACCAGTACTTTCCAAAACCCCTGAACGAATTTTTCCACTTAAAACCAGCTGCGGTCCTTTAGGCAGATATTTTCAGCAACTATTTACATCCCCTTTATTTTTTCCCCGTTTCCATTTATACACCTCTCATACCCCCCCCTATTCTACTCTTTTTTAAGATGCAGTTTCAGGCCCTTAGTCTATCCTCAGAAAAAACGTCCCCCAACCGCAGGTTTAGAGACGAAAGAGGGGAAACTGCGGGCCCAGAAAAAAGACAGGAACCTTCATGGGAAGCATAAACGGGGATAAAACACGTCATTACTGGGGGCACTTTAAAATTCTGAACCCGTACTCCTGGAATTGCAGGGGGGAGAGATACATGATAACCCTGGAAATCCTAAAGGGGGGCGTACCAAATTTTCACACAAATCACCACTACAAAAGCAAAAGACTTGGCGACTCAACATCCCCCCCCTGAAAACAGGGGGCAAGCACGTTAAAAAGAAACAAAAAAGTGTCGGGCCCAAAACTTTTTTAAGCCCCCCCGCATACATAAGGGGGTTCCATAGACCCCTGGGTGTCTTCAAACAGGCACTGGACAAGCACCTGAATCGTACCTGACCCCCGGGGTGTGGCTTTGTACGTTGGTTTGGTGAAGCCAGAGTAACACCTGGTTGATCGCCCTGACCACCTGAGGCCCCCGGTCACCGACCCGGGGCCCCGGGGGGGTTGACCCCGGGAAATCCTCCAGGTAAAACAGTGGCTTTATCATCCAATCAAAGGAAATGGTAAGGAGAGGGTTTGAAGAATAGTCCTCAGCCTGGAGTCGAATTTTTCAGTCCACAATCTTGTAGAAAGTGCACATAGGGGGTAGACGGGGTTATATACTGTAGTCAGTGAGGTGAAAAGGAGAAGGGGGGGTCATAGTGGTACCATCCCTTGTCTAGGAGGTCTTTTGTCCAAAAGATTGCTTTGTATTGGATGATGAAGCCATGTTGGGGAAACGTTCTTCAATAAAGATTCCCATGTGTTGCGTAAGTGTCTCAATTCTTCAACTTGTCGGTTTTCAAAACCATTCACCACACATGTCCCCACATACTCACAACTCGACTAAAGAAGCTTACTGTATATGCGAAACGTTTCAACAAACAAGATACCCAACTCTTCAACTCGTCGGTATTTTATACCCTTTTCAACACAATGAAAGATAATTGTAGTTATAAGAACACAAGAAGGAACACTGCAGAAGGCCTACTGGCCCATACAAGGCAGATCCTTAACAAAACCATCACTACCCAAGAATTTTCTCCCCTCCTAACTAAACTTACTAAAGAAAGAGATGTACTTACATGTGCGGGAGAGAGAGACAGCAGCACCACCCACCACAAAGGTCAGTCAGTTACTAAACAAACTTATCATTGTACCACCTCCACACACTTCTCTGCTTGTCATCATGGCTCAACGTTTATTTTAGCTCACTAATGTTGAATATTGATAAGTAAATATCTCTCGTCATTCTGACTTATTATTTACCGTGAATGATAAAAGTGAGGGGACAGACACCAGAATAAAAGCTCAAGGCCAGTCACTTGATACCCCAGAGATGACTCTACAACTCTTCTCTGGTTCTACGCAGTGGATCTACTACCAAGGTTCTGCCCAGCCTTGACTAACATTGTACATACTACTACTACTACTACTACTACTACTACTACTACTACTACTACTACTACTACTACTAATAATAATAATAATAATAATAATAATAATTCAATTCAAATTCAAAGTTTATTCTCTATAAAGATTACAATGTTGAATTTACAGAATTTGGTTATTGTGTGGTTTACATGTAGTTAAATAATGATTACAGAGTGTACCACTAGAACGCCTAGCATGGCTAGGTATTACAGAGTGTACCACTAGAACGCCTAGCATGGCTAGGTATTACAGAGTGTACCACTAGAACGCCTAGCATGGCTAGGTATTACAGAGTGTACCACTAGAACGCCTAGCATGGCTAGGTATTACAGAGTGTACCACTAGAACACCTAGCATGGCTAGGCATTTCGGGCAGACTTAGTTTAATTCTTTATTTTAAAATATTACAAATTATGAGGTAAGTTGGTATTATGGCTAAGTGACTAAATACTAGTTTGTGAGTTTAGCAATGTGAATGCTTTTGTTTTGGCACAGTACATAGTTTCAGTATTGGAGTATCACAGGCCAACTTATGACTAGTTATTCATTATTTTAAGATTGAGATTAATATTTCTGTTTATGGTCAAATGGGTGAGTTGCTGCTGCAACTAACCCATCTCTTTGGGAAGGACCTACTTCCACTGGGGAATCCCGCCTACCAGTGACTTTGCCCTCGTCTGCTGCCCGTCCCTATCCACTGACGCCTATATAAACCGCCAGTCTTCTTGTCTTTGCTCCAGATTCTCCTCCACCACGATGCTGTGAACACTAACTCCAAGGCCGAGGGACTGATTACCTCATCTTTTGTATATAGTTCTACTGTCTTCCTATTATGTCCTAGAATCTGTATTGATAAAGCCACTGGATGGCGAAACGTCTACAATAAAGATATCCAGATGTTGCACATG